CAGGCAGAATCCAAGGGATTTATCCCAGGATCTCCTCGAGCTAATCTTTCAGCCAAGTTTGTGCCAGGCCCACAATACTGATAACCTGGCAGATTGAATTCAACGGGGAGATTGTTGATGATTTTGTTCAATAACCCCCTCCCTTTTTTGTTAGCACGCGATCTGTGCACAATCATGTCCGAAATAGAACTGACTGATTTTGCTATAAAACCCTCCAATTTATAGGTTTTCTCCTCAGTTGTTATGGAGATGGAGTTCAGTACACATCCCAACGGTTTACCCGTCATTAATTTTGATTCAGTGACTGCGAAAGATCAACCGAGGCGGCATGGCTCATTGCTGCAAAATACTATTTGCGCGGTTTTCTGTGGTGCATCAAATTGTGGAAAAACGAATGCCGTATTGAGCCTCATAATTCATCCGAATGGTTTAAGATTTTCAAACATCTACGTTTATTCGAAATCGCTCAACCAACCGAAATATCAATTTTTACAAAATTTATTGGAACCTCTGAGTGACATGAATTATTATCCATTCTCAGACAATGAGGAAGTTGTGTCGGTGGACAACGCAAAGACGAATTCTTTATTTATATTTGATGATGTGGCCTGCGAGAAGCAAAATAATATTAAGGCATATTTTTGTATGGGGACACATAAAAATGTTGACAGTTTTTATTTACGTCAATCATATGCTCGCATTCCAAAACATTGAGTGCGCGACAATCCTAATTTCCTGGTATTATTAAAGCAGGACGAAATGAATCTAAGGCATATTTATAATGATCATGTCAATACGGACATGTCATTCGAAAAATTTAAACAATTATATTCCACATGTTGGAAAAATAATTATTCGTTCCTAGTAATCGATAAAGATAAGGATATTGATGGAGGTCGATACAGGAGAAATTTCGATTGTTTCGTTCAAATAAATAAATAAATAATGGTTGTAGGGGGAGAACTTGAACAGTAGCGGGCTAGATCCCAGTGAGTGAACATGGCTCCTCGTAAGGATGAAATGTCAAAGCAATTCAACGAAAACATAACCTATTGAAATTGGGTAGAGAGAGTATTGATGAAGCANATTGTTTCGTTCAAATAAATAAATAAATAATGGTTGTAGGGGGAGAACTTCAACAGTAGCCGGCTAGATCCCAGTGAGTGAACATGGCTCCTCGTAAGGATGAAATGTCAAAGCAATTCAACGAAAACATAACCTATTGAAATTGGGTAGAGAGAGTATTGATGAAGCAATGAATGAAGTTTTCAAACCCATTGTGAGACCGCTCCAGGAATTGAATATTCGGGATGTTAAATTTTTCGATGATAATGGGGAAAACCTCAAATTGGTCGACAATAAAAAACACTTCAGAACCATTGGTTACAAAAATCGACGAAAAATCGGGTATAAGAGCACCCCAAAGACACCCAAAGAAATTTTCTAGAATGGAAATACCTCTGAGGATGACTATGATTCTACAGCCAATGATTCTTCATTCAATCACACGTTGAATGAGACTCTGACGCCATTCTTGAGAAATTCTCACGATGATACTATAGTTCCATCCTTGGAGAATTCTCACGATAATACTATAGTTTCAGGCATTAATAATTCATACAATCTGGGCGAATTATCTAGCACTTAAGAAGAAGCAAATGTTATCGATGCTGACACTCTAGTAGAATAATATTTAGCACTAATCCATACACCAAAATGGAACAAGGCTTATGGTGTTCGACAACTTACTCATAGGTTCATGATTGGAGATTCACCCATTTATGTTGAGGATGAATTTATTAAAGTGAAAACCATGAAATACGCTTGCACCAAAGGATTACTGGAGCTTCTCTTCATGAAAAGTCCTGATCCCAATTTGATTGATCAAAGTTATATTGATGCATATAAAGATATCATACTTGCAACAAATGGGCATCAAAGAAACTATAAACCTCGAGGTGGCATTCGAGAGACGAAGGGTGAGAAATATGAAAAATATATTTCACAGTTTGCCGGATCCAGGAATACCGGCACCGGGCTTCTACCTGCGTTTATGAAGGCTCGACGGCCGAACACTGTGAATTATGTCTACTGGGATGATCCCAATGAACTTGTCGACCGTCTTCGATTACTTGTAGCTTCACAGGGGGCAGGAAATCCGAGTCATGATAATGAAATTATTTCAATTATTGAGGAACTTCGGGAGGCTGAAATCATATATTAGAGTATGCATATTGCAAACTACTATCATTTGCGAAATGAGTGTTGACGTGTTCGGTCGTCACTTAACCTCTGATAGTGGCTCTTACAATCTAGCCCCTCCAGGTATTGGATATAAACTCACTGCAGAAGGTGATTACGATCTTCTTGACAAAAGGCTGAAGAATCTTGCAACACCAGTGGACCCACATGATGCTGTTACACTAGAGACTTTGAATACAAAAATTAGTGATTTGCAAATTGAAATGAAACGCAAGTTTCCAGATACCAATAGGAGGGTTGGCAAATTAATGAAAATAGTGGAAAAAATACCAAGTGCACTCGTATTGCCAAAAATACCCGAGTATTCTGTGAATAATGGCAGAAAATAAATTGGATGTTGTGAAAGAATTGCATCGTCCAGTCCAAAGAAATTACCCCCGACGACGAGTTAATATTCGTGATCTGGATGAGACATGGCAGGCAGATTTAGTGGATATGACGGCTTACGCAAAGAGCAATAATGGACATAGATTTTTGCTCACTATAATAGACAATTTTTCAAAATTTGCGTGGGCTGAGCCGATAATGAGGAAAAATGCTCAAGATGTTACGAGAGCTGTAAATTCCATTCTCCAACAGAGGCGTGAGCCCAAACATTTACACGTTGATGGTGGAAAGGAATTCTACAATTCCGAATTTCCAGCATTAATGAAGAAATATAATATCAATTTATATTCCACATTCAGTAATTTGAAGGCTTCTATATGTGAGCGATTCAATCGAAGATTGAAGAGTAAAATGTGGTTTCAGTTCAGTTTACGTGGAAATTACAAGTGGATTGATATGTTGCCAGAACTCGTACGGGAATATAATCATAGAAAACATCGAACTATTCGTATGAAGCCTGCCGATATGACAACAAAAAATCCGTGCGCGTACTCGCACTCACACACACTCCCATGCACACACATCGCCGTATTCCGCATCGAGAAAAAATGTAATTTATCAGAAAAGTAAAATTGTTTCTAGAATGTATATCGATTTCGAAAAAAGCTAGTGAACTGCTGATTAAATGTCTTCCAGTATTCCATGATTTGTGCGTTATATCAAAATTCATCGTTTCTAACAAAAAAAACTTGAAATCGCATCGTTATGCACGGAGAAATGGTCTCGTTTACAAAAAAACGCTAATTTTCGATTTTTTTCCAAAAGTTTTTTGGAAAAAACTGGAGAAACGCTGAGACGATCGTCTCCATAATCTAATCAAGTTCAAGTCACATTAAAATACAGCGATTAAAAAAAAAAGTCAAATCGCATCGTTTGTTCAGGAGGAATCGTGGCACAAAATTTTTGTCACAGACGTACGCACACACATACACACATCCACACATACAGACAGGTACCTGAAAAGGGTCAGAAGTGGTTCCAAAGGTCATGAAACGTGGAGAAATGCTTAAATTTCCACATTCGATTTTCGGGGTCATTACAATAACTTCCTCCTTTCGGGTCGGGAAGTTAAAAATGCCAAGAAATTACGTCTTCTCTACGCAGACTTTCGGGTGAATAGCAGACAGCCAAAGTTTCACGTGGGTGATCAAGTTCGCATAAGCTTGAGCCACTGCTTGCACACAAGAGAATTCATCGTGACAAAAATTGAAACGTTACTCGTAAGTCTTACGTAAGAACTGATGGAAAACCATGGAAAAACCTCGGCTTTATAGTCTAAACAATGGGTGGGGGTAAATTACGTGAAAAAAAATACAAAGATAGAAATTTTCGCAGAAGGCGAGATAATTTTTGTGAAAAGGTATTCTCAAGACCACTTATCAGGAAACGAAATTGAGTCTGAAAAGCTTTCATCTTTTTTACATTCTTACTCTTTTAACCCTGATCTAGCTAAAATCCTCGGGAATAAGGGTGATAAATCATGTAGGAAAACAATTTACAGAAATTTTCATGGATGACGCGACAATTTTTTGTGAAAAGGTGATTTTAAGATCACTTATCTCGAGAGAAAATTGAGTCTGAAATACTTTCACTTTTTTTCTTACACCTATTCTTAGCCTCTTAAGCCTTATCTAGCTGAAATACAGGAAAATAGGGGTATCATAAATCATGTGTAAAATAAGTTTTTGTGAGATAGAAGACAAGGTATTTTCAACATCATATCCTAGTCTGCTCTTGAGATTTTTCAGATAAATTCTCATGACTTATAAGAGTGATCCTACAGCTTTCCACATTTTTACTCTCGCTGAATATTCTCTCTGAGTCATATAGCTTTTAAATCTGCTAATCAGATAACAGAGTAGAGTACAGATTTTTTCCAGAGGGATTGAGTATACCTTTCCGACAATTTCCCAATCGATGACTCTTTCAAGTTTTATGATTCGAAAATTGAGGCAGTGTACAAATTTTTCGATGCAGATAGTAGCTTTGGAATTCTCTATAATAAAGTAATGAAGCACTCGGTCTGGGTTATAAGAAGAGTTTTGGGTCTTTTATTGGTTGTGAGGTAAGTGGTCTGTGTTAGTCATTTTTCTATGTGCAAAACCCCGAAAAATTTTCGTGGTGGGGGTAGTTTACTCCTATAAATGCCATTTGTCAGTCACCCTCAATTCACAGTCCACCACAACGTCTTCAAAGGACAGGAAAACGTAAAATTTCATTCGTGTTTGTGCAAGTGTTCGTGTTCGTTTGTTCGTAACAATGAATCCCGTCCAAGAATATGTCGCCATCAAGGAGAACGTTTTTTGCCCATTGGAGTGGGTTGGGGGGTCTGCGAGGAGTTGGAGAAGACTATGATTCTCCACGTGGAGAAGACTATGATTCTCCACGTGGAGAATGAATCCATTCTCCAACATTTCCCCCTCTTGGCTGCTCATGTGATGTTGGACCCTCCGGCAACAGTGTGGGTCACCGCTCATCCTACAGCGGGTTTGATGTGGGAGTTCCTGCTCGACGAGGACTTCGAAGAGCGCACTACCAAATATCTGACTCGGCTTCGGGAGGAGCAAGCGGAGCGAGCTCAACGGCATCAGGTGATGGAGGCGGAAGGGCCAACCCAAGAAATGGATATTGGGAGAGAAGAAGAAGTAGGAGAGGAAGAGGATGAAGACGAAGAAGAAGAAGGAGAGGCTGAAGGTGAGGGCGAAGATGGCATCGTCATCATTTATGGAGGTCCCCGCCAGGAGCTCGACAGGATGGAGACTGGAGAAGATTACGTCGTCATCGTCTGGGAAGGTCCGTGTCGGGAAGTGCCCATGGAGACCGACGATGATGACGTCGTCATAATTGATGAAGTCCCGAGTCCTGAGGAGCAAATGGAGATTACGGATGATGATGATGATGATGATGATGACGATAGTGGGTATAGTGATGAAATCGTTCCTCCAGCGAGACTGCTCCAAGAGGAGCAGTACAATGAACCCCAGCAACCTCAGCATCTTCGGCACCATCAACAGCCCCAGCATCAACAGCCTCAGCACCATCAACAGTCTCAGCATCATCAGGAGTCTCAGGAGTCCCAGCAGCCTTGGCACCATCAACAGCCCCAGCATCAACAGCCTCAGCACCATCAACAGTCTCAGCATCATCAGGAGTCTCAGGAGTCCCAGCAGCCTTGGCACCATCAACAGCCCCAGCATCAACAGCCTCAGCACCATCAACAGTCTCAGCATCATCAGGAGTCTCAGGAGTCCCAGCAGCCTTGGCACCATCAACAGCCCCAGCAGGCTTGGCACTACCAACAGCCCCACCATCATCAGTACCCCCAGCAGCCTCAGCACCATCATCAGGAGGTAGAGAATCTCGTTTTCTACCCGCCAGCTTGCAAGTAGCAAGCCCTCACTGTCTCTTCTTTCTCAATCCCCAGAACAATTGTCATAACTTTTTTGTTTCTGCTTACAGGGATATCCAGGATATGTTGAGCTGAAAACTGGAGTTAACTTCCCAGAAACCTGGGCTCAGCAAACCTCCAGAGCTCGGTTGAATGAGCTCATCACGCGGAGGATTGAGGATGAGCATATGGGGAGGCCAGCCAGACCCATCGATCTGGCTCCACAAGGATGGCTGCTCATCCTCAACGGGGCCTACATGTTGCTACCTCGAGAGAGCTGGGAGCTCCTGACGGGGATTAGCCCTGAGGATTGTAATGGAGTTGGTGCCATTGATGTACCATTAATCCAATGGTAGCACGAGGCGTAGCTGTGTCCGCGAGCTACTTGCCAGCGTAACTAGCTTACGCTGATCAAGAAGAAGCAGGAAGGGGGGGATTAAACCGCTTTCGACATGTAATACGCATTTCATCCTGTCTAGTGTAAAATAAATAATATTTTTAATTATTAAATGTTTTTTTTCATTTATAAAATACTAGCTACCCTTCTTATCCTTAAAAATCCTAGCACTCCTTAATACAATTTGAAAATCAAACCGTGAACTAAATCCGCGAATTAAAACCGCGAATTAAATCCGTCAATCAATCGATGAATCGACCGCCTACCACCCACTCGCGACTAATGAAATTACCACCCACTCGCAGGGGTACCCTTCGTGAACAGACCCTTCCTACAGCGTGGCACTAAAAAATCCGCGAATTAAATCCGCGAATTAAACCGCGAATTAATTGATTAATCAGCCGCCTACCACCCACTCGCGGGATACTTTCAGGCAGACCCTTCTGACCCTCTTCAAAATGGGTTGGGCCAGATACGGCCTCACACATCTACTACCGGTCCAAGATGGGAAAGAGAGAAAAAGCATAAGAAGATCCCGAAAGTGAGTTTTCCGGTTTTCTTTCACTTTTTTCGGGCCATTTATTAATGGTGTCGGTGTTCTCACGAAATGTGGTGTCCCTCGTGAGGGCCTCGGCTCCACGAGGTGGTTTTTATCCCGATTACATGGTGATCGAGGTTCTGATTATGTCTTTTTGAGATGTTGATCGCTCCCGGAATTTTTATTCCGTGGTACTTGTTCATTAGATTCCTTTTTTTCTTTCCTTTGGAAATAATTACTCCCCTTTTCGGGGTGGTGAGTGGTTTTAGTTTCCGGTTTCATTCCGGTCCCCCTTGCATTTGTGTTCCTCGTTAATGATGTTGGGTAATTTTGTGGGTTCTTTTTGGCCGAAATTATGATTTTTCCATGCCTCAATTATCACGCGCTCTCTCTCGCTCTCGTAGCGATGGGCAGAGCTATCTCCCTCAGCGAGGATTACTTGCTGAGTGGCTCAGACCTTCCCCGTGAATGTCTCCTCTCTCCCTCGCACTAGGTTTCTATACCTACGTATTACGAGTGGCAATCCGCCTCGTGCAGCTTTCTGCCGGTTAGAAGTCCTGCCCGCTATTAATTAGTGGAGAGAGGTTTTAGCGATCCGAAAATTCTGATTTTCGAATGAGACTTTCCCAGGAGGATCCCACATCGATTGAGGCCGGGTTTTTGGGTTTTCACTCTACCGTTTTCGAGTTTTCGTCAGTTAAGTTTTAAGGAATTTCTGAGATACATCCGTCGCGCCTGTATATCCGTATAGTGGTGGATTTATCTTTCCTCTCTCTCTGTCTCTCACTCTCGTGGTTGTCCGCATACTTTTTCCCTCAGTTCTCGGAATTCTCGAGCATTTCGAGATTAGCGAATATTTTCGTGTTTTCGCTATTGCCCTCAATAACACCTGAAAAATTGGATCACTTTAGCCTTATAATCAAGGTGATCGCAATTATATTATTTTGTTATTATGATTTCAGATCGGAGTTATTAGTTTTTTTTTGTTTTGTTAGAAGAGCGAGAATTGTTATTGAGAATTTCCGTTTCTTTTGAAAATTATGTAAAAGCATATAAATTATTTATTTTTGAACATTTCAATAGTGGTACAACCAAGGACAATGTCGATTTTTTTTTCTAGTTTTGACCACCCAATAATCCGTTTCCACCTGAAATCCTCCCCCTCTCTCGACAACCTAGCACACTGAGCCACCCGAGGAACATTACCTTTCTCCGAAAATCTAGTTTTCTTTCTTTTTGCGTACGTTTTAGAGGTTTTCCAGTTAGTTAAAGTTAATTTTGTCGACTCCTCCGGTTTGGTAATTCCGGTTAAAAATTACCTGGCGCCCATAGATTTTGAGTTTTTGAGTTTAACTAGATTCAGGGAAGAAGGGTGAAGGTAGTAGGCATTGTTAACCCCCATGCACGTTACAAATTATCATGGGAATATTTCGATTTTACCAGCTTCATACTGTCCTGGTGGAACAAAATTATCTTAAAGAGTTAATTACTTCAGTGCCTGAAATTTCGTCGAACAATCACTTGATTACAATAGTATATTGCTTTACCAGTGCGTAAATTTCCACTTTTTCTCACGCACGTGTAACACATCCTATTTTTTGTGATTTCTGGTGAGTTCACTATTCGGAACGGTAATGGGGGTAATCTGGTTGTTTTTGTGTACGAGTGCGTAAAGTTCATGAGCATGTGGAATGTGAAATTTGGGAATTCACTTTACAGACGTTCGTGAACTTTATGCGTGACGTGCGGAAAACAACCGCTTTACGCACACTAAACCGTTTCGAAAAATCCACTTTTGAGGCAGGTATCACAACAAATCGATAATATAATTCGACAATCGTAATCATATCACAAATAAGGGATAGAAGGGTCAAATGGAATTGATTATAATGGTCATCATTCATTAACAAAAAACGATATCGATCAAGCATACAGTACGTTTCAGAAAGTGTAAAAGATCACTTCTTACACGTAATTGACGTTTAGATTTTTCTGTGAGCACATTGATTTACATTAAATCCTTCAACTGTGAAGCAGGATTGGTGAGTTCAGATATGACGCGGGTACGGGCTCGATTTTGGGCTTTCAATCGTTCATTTTCGACTTTGAGCGTTTTCAATTGCTGTACACAGTTAGCCCAATAATTTATCAAGTAATTCAAATAGACACCTTTTTATTATTCAATAATATCTCCAAGACAATAATGCAAATAAAAAACGAAAGAAACGTTAATTTCTCAGATGAAAAAAATCGATGCTCAGAGAATGAAAAAGACTAAAAGTTGTACGGAATTCTGGCGAAATTCCTTAGGGACATCGAGATCCAGAGAACGTCAGGAGCGAAATCAATGCGTGAGTACGTAAGGAGATCCCTTAGAATCGCGAATTAGGGACCGAGTACCTTTATCGAGCAATGAGGGATTTTGTTTAGAGCATTTTTTGGGTTTAAGAAAGTAGGAAAGCAGTGCGACGAAAGTCGAGATTAGGAATTAGAGAGTTCAGTAACGCGTCGATATAAATATCGAATGTGGGGACCGAAGGGAATCCATGTTTTGGGCCGAATTTACCGACCTACGCGGATTTTTCTGAGGAATAATCCCTCCGTTTTAATTTCCGGGGATACGTGGAAGAGTAGCTGCAAGTCTACCCCTCGGTTAACGGATCGTAGGGGGAAAAGCGTTACGTTTCGGGGTTTAGGTGAAAGGCCTAGGGGGCTATCGCAGCCCTAGTAACCCCTAGAATTGTCGTGGCTGTTTGGTTTTGTAATTAAATTTTGAGAAGTTAAGAGTTGATTGGAGTTTCTTTTAGTATTGGGTTTCTTTTGCTTATTTTTACCTCTGCGATCCTCCAGATTACGACCCCGGGGACGTAATCACATTACGAAAGTATTTATTAGGGCTAACAACTGCCGTTTTACCGACGAAAGGCGTTAAAATAAACTGTCATTAGGGTTGAAGATGTAGGGAAAATTCGAATTTGATTCGATAGTCGCGCGCTCGAGGATGGGGCGCAAGGGGTGATGGGAATGCGACAGCGCTACCGGGCCTGTCGAGAACCACGCAGGACGAGAGAGATCCGCCATTATACGTGTGTGTGTCAGTCGCTGGCGAGTACAGACGAGTGCAGCTTCATTATTCACGCGCTTTGGGAGCAGTTTTTCGAGATTTGTGGGCTATCATGGATAGCCAGACATTCTGGAGGCGGAAATTGAGGACTTTTTGAAAAGGATACAGGCAACGGGAGCCTACCAGCGAGTCTTTTATGGTGGACGCCGAGTCGTCCACAACACGTGGCGTATCGGCCACAGGCGAGTTGCACTCGGTTGTGGTGATGGGTTTTTCAGGTAGTTATGCGTGCTTTTTCTCATCTCGAATTATCGCGAGCGTTTAAATTAGTTACATTGTTTATTGTATGCCGTCTCTCTCGTGCGGGGACGGAGCTAAATGGTTTTTATTCCTATTTAATTGTGATGCCAGCGGCATAGAATAGCACGTGGTTTTCGGAGTGTTCGGCTAACGCGGGAAGTGTTCGGTTAATTTTCCGGTCTCGACGGTATAAGAGCCATCCGTCTTCGGTGGATGGTCCTTGTTCTGCGTGCGCTGTGATCCCGAGAGGTCCACCACGAGCGTCTCGGTTTTCCAGGACGATTTTGTGTCGCTTCCATGCCAAGCATGCCTCGCAGTGATGGCACGAGATTGGTTACGGGTCAATTATTCGGAAGTTTAGGCTTCTTTTTCCTTTCGGCATTGTCCGAGACGTTACGGATTAAACTGTTAGGCGTGGATAAAATCGATACTTGCGAATTGGACATGCGAGGCTACCTCGAGACCCGGATCCCTTCTATTTTGGACGGGTGAAGTAGCGGATAAAATTTGGGCGTTAAATATTAATGCTGATAAATGCGGATTTATTAGGAGAAACCTTGCTGGCGGGATGCGAACCTTCCGAGATCGCGCTTTAGGCTAGACAATAGGGAATAGAATTAATTTGAGCGTGAGGATTAGCCATTGAGTAACTATGGGACCTTCTATCGGTTGAGGAGGTTTCTTGAGTAGGTTAATCACCTTTGGGGTTACAATTTTTCCTGTTAGACTCGAGGCTTTCGTCCTAGCTAGAGCTCGTACTATTATCATTGTTTTTTTTGGATCTCCTTACGTACGGTTGAGTGAGAAATGTATTATTGTAAATTAATTTTAATGCTCCTTTTTGATTTACCTTTGAGCTATTTAATTGTTTTTGTCGGCAGGTCCAGAGTTTTTTTCTTGTTTATTACCAGATTATTATTTCGTTGCCATGCGGAGTTGGATTTTGAGCGCGGAGCCGCTGTTCCGATTTTTTTATTCTCTTTTTGACTAGTATTTATATTTTTTTCTGAATATTCTTTTTTGAATATTATTTTTGGGATTATTGTACATCGATTTC